TGTAATAAATAAAATGAAGGTACAAATTTGATAATACTAAAAATTGAAAATAAAATTTTTCAATAAAATTAGCATAAAAAAGAAAATAATGTTTAGGTATTATTACATTTAAGAGGTGTCTCCTATTTATTTTGATTAAATAAAATGGTCTAAGTGTAAAAAGCACATATTATTTGATTTTCTCTTTAAAAAGATGACAGCTCGATCATTTTTTTGTGAACTCATTTTCTTCATGAGATCTTTTGAAAATCCTATTATTTGATTTTTTTTTTCTCTTTAAAAGGATGACATCTCAGTCATTTTCTTGTGGACTCATTTTCTCTATGGGATCTTTTAAAAAAGCATTTTCAATATATTCTCTATTGATTTGTTTTTTGAATTTGAGATGATTAAATAAACAAACTAAACTCTTATTTATAAGCCTACAGAAGACAAAAGTCTTGGCACACCACAGATGTGGGACAAAAGACAACTTTTGTCTAGTGTGGCTGTTGACATTTTGCTATTAGATATTAATTAGTTTGTTAGATTTGAGATATATTTTGTTATTACTTATTAAATAGTTCTTTGGATTTGAGAGTTGACATTTTCATGTTAAATTACAAAATAAATAGGTCTAGAGAACAGAGTAATTAAAAATTGCTCCAAGTGTTCATGTAAACCTTTTACTCTTACACTTTGAAGATTGCTTGAGGAAATTATGATAAATTGTATAAGCTTTTCCTATTAAAATTGTTCAAAATCTTTGCTATTACATTTTATGGAGCATATCAATCCTGTTTTATGGATTTTCCTTTTACATGGTTGTTTAGCTTCTTGATAAATGTATAGTGCTTTAATATAATGCGTCGTTGGTGTGTTAGTGCTGGGAGTTACCGGGAAGGCTATTGGTGAGTTTACTCTGTCATGTTGAGTTGATTTGTGTTGCGTGATTTTTATGCTCGTAAGTGCACGTGTCGCAATCAAGTAATAAAGTGTATAAAGTACGTCCCATAGAGAATGAATCAATAAGTGTACATGTAGAAATCAACTAGTTTACCCATTTTAAGTGACAAAAACTGATTGTTCAAGAATTATCCAATTGTTATAAATGAATAAATGTAAAATAAACTGTAAAAAAGATTAACTAAAAGATCAAGAAAACTAAAATGGAGTGTAGCAGTGATGTAAATCAACTAGACCTACTAATTTCTCCTTAGTTGCAAGTCTGATGGCAAGAGAATGTTGTAGCATTCTCTGTTAACAGAAACTCTTTTATTATGCATATGATTCTCCCAAAGTCATTACGTCTAAAAATTCCTCAGCTATTTTCAACATATTCCTATGTGGATCTAGTTTCAAAATGCAAATTAAGCTCGGATTTCTATTTGTTATGCAAGATGAACAATATATTCATATATCATTCACAAATCAATAAACTAAGCAAGAGTATTGAACTTACATCATCTATGTAAGATCTAACTAAAACTAACCTTTCAAGTATTAATCTTAGTCTTGTATTCTACGTTTGATGACCAGTCAAAAACATAAACGAACATTAAATACACACAGATGAACAGAGAATAGAATTAATCAACATTCCTTAAGCAACCATCATCCTTACAACCTTGGTTCCATTAGTAGATCTAACTTAACAAATTAGTTCATGATAATAATTACAAGAACCAGATTTCTAGTAATATTCATGTCTTAATCAATATAAAAAATAACAAAAGATTCAAGCTAACAGAGAGAGGGAAAATTGAAGAGTTGGATCTTGGATCTTCTGGATTCCTCCTTGTCCTTCTCCACGGAATCACTCTCTACAGCTCTCTCCCTTGATTTTTTTATTCTCGTCCTCACGTTTCTGGTACTTATTTTTCCTCTCTTGGTAATGTACTGTGCGTTTTTATGGAGAGGGGGTACAGTGTACTGTCTTTTCTTGATGACATAAAAGGTATGTGATGTGTGGTGTCCTTTTCTCTTTCTATTTTCTTTTTTTAACCCTCGGCGGCTGCTTACTCCTTGCAACAAAATATTTCCTTCCTAGGGCAACAAGAGGGCTAAGCTATCACTTGATGAGGGATGCAGTGATCCACACTACTGCTCAACTCACTCAGCTCACATTGGCTTTTGTCCTTTTTCTCCACATAATGCGCTGATGTCATCACTTGCTAGCTACACCCAGAATGCTGCACAGAATGCTGCAAGAATGTTGCTGCCTCCACTGATGTTGTCATGCATTTTGCAAAACCACACTTAGACATATCTTAGCCTCTTTTTGATTCAATTGACTCCTTTTTAACCCAAAATCAGCACAAGCACAGAATTAAGCAAGACAAAGTGCAAAACCAGAAAATCTAATACAACCACAAAAGAAAACAATGAAAAACACTCTTAACTAAGTAAACTTTAAGCTGAAAATGCATAAGATAACTCTAATTTCTTAGACTTATCAATTTGTTAAAAAGAAGTTTCCTGTGGGAAACATTATTATGTTTGTGAAGTGATATGGTGGGTCATCTTCTATGATAGGAAAAACCGACTAGAGTTCCTGAGAAGATGTAAAAGAAACAACACAAGTCACTATTTTTAACTCAAAAATTTCGTGGCATATACAACTATAATTGATGATACATTGATATTTATGGTTGTACTAAAAGAAAGAAGCAAAAACACAAATGGGGTAGTTGTTGTGCACTTGAACTAGCTAGTTACATATAAACATTTTGGTCTTCCATGTTAGCCTGTCATAGAAGCCTTTCACGAGTTTTTATCATAAAGATTTGTTGCTGTTTTTATAAGTTAAATTATGCAATATAGTCAATATATAAATATTTTTCAAATCAAATATCATAACACATATTTCAATTTTAAATCTCGTATTAAATTATACAACTCATAAATGTAGCCAAATAATACTTTCCCTAAGTCATTTTTATTGGAACACGTTTCTTTCTTTAGTAGAAAAGAGTAACAAATTTGTATACGTCACATAAGATTTGTTTTCAAGTTATTAGAGAATCCAGATATACTGTTCACATTTTCTTATCTCGTTGGTTGCCATTTTATTATTTATTTGTTATGTCATTTAAATTTAACAATGTAACTACAAAAATATAAACTAAATACTGAAAATACTTAAATAAATCATGATGTGTCAAAATTTAAAATGAAAGAATAATTAGCGGGTCTGAAAAATGAGACAATAAATTTGATTTGTCGGTGCATCAGTGTGTTTCCATCTAAACTTTTAAGAGTCAGTATTGGACAGAATCTTAAAGTCATCATTGATTGCTTTAAAAGGTTACGTGCGACACAATAAAACAAATTCAAGGAATTACAGGGTAATTTAGCACTCCTTTAAATTAAAAAAAATGGCTAACTATATACAAGAAAATTTTACATGTAATTTGATATTGTACATATCTACTCTACATATACAAGAAAAATAAAAATAATGCTAGAGACAGGACTCTAATACTAACTTCTTATACCAAGTATGAGTTGATTTTTAATTATTAAAAAATCAACGCATTAAAAAAATGCATTTATCAATGAATAGATAATAACTTAAAATTAGTATAAAAAGTTAAAATTAGAGTGGATGGTGTAACACAATACATGTAAGAAATGTCAGTCATCTTTATTAGTGAGGCGATTTCAACCTAAACAAGCGTTTAATGAAAATTTTATAAAATTTTAATATTGATGATGATATCAAAATTTAAGGGTTAAGGAAAATTTTAATACAATTTGATATTGTACATATCTACTCTGCATATGCAAGAACAATAATGCTAGGAACACCTAGTGACGAAGTCAGGAATCTTTATGGAGGGCTAATTTTAATTACATAAAAAATTTGATAAATTTAATTATTAAATTACTATAAATTGTTCTCAATGATATTTCAAATCTTAAAAAATATTACATAATAAGTTAATAACCACATTATCAAGGTTATTGAAGAAGTGTCGTTAATCAATTGATCTGTAATTCTTCATAATATTGATAACAAAAAATACCATGTCTACGATAGTGGTAACAATAGTGTTTGTATTCGTCTTTTTTTTTTTCCATCTTTCTTCTCCTTCTTTGCTCTGTTTGTTGCTTTCTTAGTTGGTTGGTATTAAATTAATGCTAATGCTAGAGGTAGATAAACTAATAGATATGTATTATTTATTTTTTAGTTAATTATAAATGGCTTTTAAAGTTAAGATTGGTAGTATTTTTCAGAAAAATAGTATTCTTAGAGGTATTGTTTTAAATTGTAGTATTTTTAAATTTTTAGAGGTTCAAAGATTACATTTTCAATTTTTTAAAGGGGACAATACCTAATTTGATACACACACACATATATATGCATATTGGGTTAAAAACAAATTTAGAAAGTTGAGCGGGGGCTTAAGCCCCCAGGCCTTATATGTCCTCGTCTCTGGGAATACCTACTCTAATAGCAACTTTTCATATCAAGTCTGATTTGATTGATAATAGTTAAAAATATTGTCACATTAAAAGATTGCATTTATCAATGAATAGATAATAACTTAAAGTTGGTATAAAAAGTAGAAACTAGAGTGGGTGGCATAACATAACTCTTGTATGAAATGCCAGCCATCTTTATTAGTCAGGGGATTTCAACCTAAACAAGCGTTTAATTGAAACTCTCGTTTTAGTCCCCCGTTTTTTCATGTATTATTTTGACCATTTTTCAAAAGAGATTATGTGCATTGTTCGTAAAATAACTTGGCAAGAGTGCATCCTTGTTTCAGGTTAGGCAGGCTGGTTAATCATGAATATAAGCTCTGACTTGGTTCCTGTCACTGCCTATGGGTTGAGTTCTCATAATGTCAGTGCTTTTCCTCTATTTGTCAACTCTTGGATAGAAAATATTATACAATGAAAAAAAAAAATTTGTATACCTTAACTATATGATTTTGTATCTCTCTAGAACTCCATTTGTTCTCAAACGAAATAGTCCAACCATCACACCACCTTAACTATATGATTTTGTCTGTCTCTACTCCGAGCATATATTCCTACAATAGACATGGCTGTTCAATTCATCCGACTCAAAACGACACGAAAAATCTTACATGACATTCTTCAAATCTCTATCTATAAACAGTAGAAAATATCCTAGAACTCTACATGGCAGCATCTTCAAATTTAGTTTACACTTCAAAATAAGAGGTGAATTGTATACAAACTTGATGTTCAAAAGAGAATATGTACATTGTCCAAGTGCCATATATAGATTTCATTTTGCATCTTACCTACCTTAAAAATGACTCAACATTTAAAACAGTCTTACAATAAGAATTCCCAAATCTGAAAGTAGAGCAACTGGCGGATCAAGACCGATCTTGAACACAACAATTCAAGAGGATCCCCAGTTTCGACAAAGACAGTGAACCTTGGCCAGAGACGCCATATAATCATCAGATCTGAGTGCACAAGGAAGTTTGATTTATAACTGCTGATACGGATAAGGATATTTCTGTAGTACAGGATGAAAAAATATTATACCAAGAGGACACAGTTCTGAATTGTAAGCTCTTCTTCAAAATTTGTTGAAAGTCATACTTTTCTTAATATGATATGATTCTTGTTCCATCTCAAGGTTCAGAAGTGTATCCTACCGGTACAGCTATTTTTTCATACCAAACAACACAGCACAAAGATTTGTTAAACAGTTAAAATAGTACTAGTTGTGTTTCAAAACCTGTGTCCGTAGGCAGACTGACATGCCGCAACTATATGTCGTTTAGCTTCTTCTGGTTTGTTCTGCATGGATGAAATTAAATGTTAATCAGTCGTCAGGCAAACACTTCGGCTTAAGCTAAAGATAAGATGTGTGTACATAACAATTCAGGTGTAGTTGTAATCAGAACATGTCAATTATACATTTTAGTAGCAAGTGAAAGTATGAAACAAACCTGAGATTCGTAATAAAGCCCAGCATACAACGAAGCATAGAAATAGTCACTGTCTCCGCCATTTGAAAAAGCAGCAACAAGCTATTTGTCAGCAACAATTGTTGAGCAAAATGGGTGGTCCGATGAAATTTTAGTAATCATGCAAGTACAGAAGGGACAAAGATAAAGCAGATTACTTTTAGGAAAATAAAAATTATATATAAAAAAAAGTCACCTGCACAAAAAGCCTCAATCAAACTGTTATTAACAAAATATTGCTGCTATAATCATCCTAGAAAAGAGCTAGCATTAAATTGCTGTAGAAAAAAAGAAGAATATAAATATATATGTAAGGAACCTGGTTAATTCACAGCCAAACACACACACACAGAGGCACAGCGTGAAGAATGAAAGGAATCAGGGTAGCTTTTATTGAATTCAAACGGCCAACAACAATTACAGTAGACAATCTAACACGATAGACCCGGAGATTTCGAGTACTCCGGAACTCCTAGCCACCGACGGTGGGAACAATACAGAGACAACCAAGGGAATTCGACCCCCTGCACTCACCCTTTCCAGCCCCCCAAATACCCTGATTCCTAGTTGCTTTTGCCACGTCACCTGGCTAGCCACTTTCTGAAATTACTCCTTGACCCCCAACTCTAGTCTTTTTGTCACTCTTACCCCTCCTAGTGTAAACGTACACACACACCCTTCAAGATCAACCTTGTCCCCAAGGTTGAAATCGGGAAATTGGCGATGAATTGAGTCTAGTGGCTCCCAAGTCGCCTCCCCCTCCGGCAGCCCCTCCCATTGAATGAGGGGGTCCAACTCAGAAGGTCCTCCAACACGAGAATAACGGGCTCGCAACACGGCTGCCGGTCGAACCAAGAGCTCGAGCTCCTCTGTAAGCTGCGGCGGCAAGGGCTGATTTACTGGGGTGTCGCCCCGAAAGGCCTTGAGCTGTAAAACATGGTGATGAGGACATCAGGGACGCAAGGAATACTCACAATCCAATTCAAGTTCCAGTTGGTCCGGTGACAAGATATCGAGCTAAAAGATTTAAAGAAGACTTGAACAACCTATTCCGAAGAGTTTTGCAACAAGAAGAGAGTGTGTTCACTACTGAGGGTGAACAAAGGCTAGTTTTACTCATTAAAATTGATCCGGAAGGGAGCTACTCAGGCATCCACGTGTAAGAGCAAGTCCAAAAAGAGTTTAGGCGCACATTCCAGCAAGAGGATCAAGTTAGGCGCACATTCTAGCAAGGGGATTAAGTTAGGCATTTAAGGGTTAGGTTTTAAACATTTAAATTCCATATTAGGCGATTTAAGGAAGGAATTATATTCAAATTCGGATTCCTTCCCTAGGTGTTATTTTTAGGCGATTTTATCTTATCTTTAGGAGTTTATCTTCAATTAGGTCCCTACCTCATTAAGGGTAGGATAGGACTTTTCAATTTTTAAACCTTTTTACCTTATGTTCGGCTATTTAATGTTGAAACCGAAAATTAATAGACTTTTGATATTTTATTCACATTGTAAGATATTCTTCTTGTGTTCTTGAAGAAACTATTCCGAACTTATCAAGGTTTCCTTGTGGCGTTCACCCTTGACTTATCAAATGGATTTTCCATATTCGTTTGTGGCGTCTTCACTATACCAAGGTTCTTGTTTTGCTAAGCAACGGGTCGCGGTTTCCATCAATTCTTGAAGATCTTGAATCGTATCCCATATTTGGCTACGGGTTTCGTCACGTTGTTGGCGGGGTTCGTATCACATGGAAGACCGGGTGGATACGTGCGTCTTCAGGAAGCAGGAGCCAGTACGCAACGGTACCAATCCTCTCAGCAATCTCGAATGGACCATAGTAGCGAGGAGCCAACTTCTCATTACGCTTCTTGGCCAAGGACTTCAGCCGGTACGGTCGCTGCTTGAGGAGTACCCAATCCCCGGCCGCAAAACTGACTTCTCGCCGCCGCTGGTTAGCAAAATGCTTCATGCGTTGCTGCGCATTCGCCAATTGTTCCTTGAGCTCTTCTAGCATATCGTTGAGTGTCCTGAAATCGGTACAAAACAGGTGGATGCCGGCCATATACTATGTAGAAGGGTGTATGCTTCGTCGAAGCATTGTAGGTTGTGTTGAACCAGTACTCAGCCCAAGGAAGAAACTTCAGCCACATCCTCGGCTTAGCCCCGGTGAAACACTGTAAATATGTCTCCAAACAGCGGTTGACCCGCTCGGTTTAGCCATCGGACTCGGGGTGATAGGCTGAGCTTGTGCGCAACTGATTTCCTTGGAGTTTGAAGAGCTCTCTCTAAAATGAACTCATAAAAATAGGATCACAGTCGCTAACAATCGAACGAGGAATCCCGTGGAGCCAAACGATCTCACGTACGAACAGCTCCGCCACATACTTCGCCGTGAATGGATGAGCAAGGGGGCAGAAATGTGCAAACTTGGACAATCGATCCACCACCACTAGGATTGTGTCCCGTCCCTCCGATTTAGGGAGGCCGCCTATGAAATCCATGGAAATGTCCCCCCAAATCCGATTAGGAATTGGAAGGGGTTGCAACAGCCCCGCTGGAAGCATAGCCTCGTTTTTGGCACTTTGACAAACCTTGCACCAAGCCAAATAGTCCCGTATTTCCTCTTTCATGCCCGGCCAAAACACATTGCTTGACACCCGCTTATAAGTACAAAAGAAGTCCGAATGGCCACCAACCACCGAGTCGTGGAGCTCGTGCAACAACCGAGGTATCCATGGTGAGGAACGCGGTAAAACCACCCGTCCTTTATAGAGCAACAACCCCTCCTTCTCACTGTATCCATCCCGAACCTGCTCCCCGGCCAATAGTTTTGTGAGCAGCCCCAAACACTGGTCATCCCCCCGCTGTCCCCTCCTAATGTCCCCCACATCCAACAGCTGTGGAATGGAAATGGCAGTAAAAGTCATTGGCTGCTCATCACCCTTCCTAGACAACACATCCGCCACTCTATTAGCGGCTCCCAGTTTGATTTGCACCTCAAAATCATACCCAAGAAGCTTGGTAACCCATCGCAATTGCTCCGGTGGAAGCACTCGCTGATCTAATAGGTACCGGAGACTTTGTTGGTCGGAGCGGACCACAAAGCGTCGTCCTAACAAGTAGTGACGCCACTTTTGTATGGCAAACACCACTGCCATCAACTCCCTCTCATAAACCGACTTCAGCCTACTTGACTCCGCAAGTGCTTTGCTAAAATAAGCAATGGGCTGGCCCTCTTGCATAAGGACAACCCCTAGGTCAGCCCCCGATGCGTCGGTCTCAATCACAAAGGTCTTGCTAAAGTCCGGCATAGCCAACACCGGTAATGTGGTCATGGCCCTCTTAAGGAACGCAAAAGCTCCTACCGCCTCTTCCAACCGAACCCCCCTCGTTTGAGCAAATTGGTCAAGGGCCGTGCAATCTCACTGTAACCCCGCACAAACCGGCGATAGTATCCGGTCAACCCAAGAAACCCCCGCATGTCTCAGACACTTTTAGGAGTTGTCCAAGAGTTAATGGCGGCCACCTTGGAAGGGTCCGGCGCCACCCCCTTGCCCGAAATGATGTGGCCGAGATAATCCAAGCTATGGCGGCCAAACGCACATTTCTTCAAGTTAGCAAACAGCTTCTCCCGCTGCAACACCTCTAATACCTTTACCAAATGGCCCCGATGCTCTTCCATAGTCCGGCTATATACTAAGATGTCATCAAAAAACACCAAGACAAATCGGCGTAGGAATGGGCAAAAGATCGAGTTCATAAGGGCTTGAAACGTCGCCGGTGCATTAATAAGGCCAAAAGGCATCACCAAGAACTCATAGTGGCCCTCGTGTGTCCGAAAGGCGATTTTCTCTACATCTTCCTCTTAACTCGTATTTGGTGGTACCATGCTCTCAAATCCAACTTAAAAAACACCTTCGCTCCGTGGGCTCATCTAGTAGCTCATCGATGACTAGGATCGGAAATTTATCCGGCACGGTCAATTGGTTAAGAGCCCGGTAATCGACACAGAAGCGCCAACTCTCATCCTTCTTCTTCACCAAGATTACCGGACTAGAGAATGGGCTGCTACTAGTTCGAATGATCCCGGAGGAAATCATGTCGGCCACCAATCTCTCAATCTCACCTTTTTGGAAGTGCGGATAGCGGTAAGGCCGAATGTTAGGAGGATCAGCCCCATCCTTCAATACAATCCGGCGGTCGCGTGCCCATTTCGGGGGCAGCCCCTTAATTTCCTCAAAAACATCCCTGAACCCCTCTATCACATCCTGCAACTCCCCCGGTATGACTACCGATTGCTTACCATCCTCCCGCCCTGTCACCTCATAGAGTTCCAACAATACCCCCACTTGTGTGCCCCATACCGTTCAAGTCAGCGAACGAAAACTCATGGGCGTACAACATAAAGCGGGGTCCCCAATCCAACTCACCCCATTGTCCCCCACCTTGAACTTCATAGTGAACCGAGACCAATCTGCCCGCACTTCTCCCAAGGTCCACAACCATGTAACTCCCAAAACAATGTCCGTGCTTCCTAAATCAACTAGGAAGAAATCTTCTACCACCGTGAACCCTTGTACGAACAACTCCAATCCCCTACATACTCCCTGTTGTTTGAAACACATACCGTTGCCGACCTGCACCCCGCATTTGGTCGACAAGTCACAGGGTAGCTCTAGTTCTTTCACAATCGTCTCCGACACAAAGCTATGAGGCGCCCCACTATCAATCAACCCCACCACCACTCGGGAGCCAATTGTGCCCTTAACTTTCATAGTTTTTGCGGAATTGAATCTCATCATAGAGTTAAGGGAAAGGTCTACCTTCTCTTCTGATTGTTCAGTTTTGGAGTGCCCTTCCTCCTTCGGTTCGCCTTCCCCATCCGACTCGTCCTCGGTGGCCAGCAATAATTGAAGTTGCTGCTTGCTCTTACACCGATGCTCGGGGCTGTATTTCTCATCACACTTGAAACAAAGTCCTCTTGCCCTCCGTTGTTGCACTTCTTCCTCAGACAAACTCCTATAACCACTCGCTCCTCCTCCCCCTGGACTATTGGAAGTGGATGCC